GAATATGAACAAAATATATGGGAAACTTTTAATTTAAATGAAAAAAGAGACTATTAGAATCTGAAATTTCACCTTAAGCAAAGAATAGTGAAATAAAATAAAAATATTAAAAATATGATAAAATTAATCCTCTTTCAATTTAGAGCTGGCTTCTTTCCATTTCCTCCCCTCTTTATTTCTTCTCTACTTCCCATATCAATCATTGAATTTATTTTTCAATGGTTCAAATTTGATATTTCATAAAATTATTATTAAAATGTAAAATTTTATGAAAAATAAATATAATAATAATTTTATGAAACATTAAATTTTAATCATTGAAAAATAAATTCAATTATTAATATGGGAAGTTGAGAGGAAATGAAGAGGGGAGGAAACGAAGAAAAGCCAACTCCTTTCAATTCGCTCTACGACCGCCTCCCTCCATCCTCCTGTTCTTCTTCCTCATCCTCGTCCGGCATGAAAAAAATCCTGAACTCGTTGCCCAGATGCCCTGTATCACTAAGATGGCCTTTTCTTTTATCTAATAAAAACCGATTTGCTCTTCGAACCCTCAAGAGAGCTGAATCAATCTCAAAATTTTGCCATTGCTCCTCCTGCTCCTGTCTTCTCTCCTAGACCCAGGCCCCAGTAACTTCTGCACTGCTTGACAATATTGCTCATTTTTTTGTAGACTCGTTAAGTGCAGGTGAGCAGAAGTTTCTGTTTCCTGGATTTTCTGGACTTCATTTTGCTTTTCTTGATGTGATTTGGGGTTGAGTATGGTAAAATTTCTCCTCCTGGTGTAGTTTTAATGACTTTCTTTTCGCGAACTTGAACTTCCAAAATTGCTGGCTTCCGTTACCCGCACCAACTACGACGTGGCTCAGACCCGATCCATGCTCGGGATTCTTGGCGACCGACCTGACCACGAATCTGTGGGTAAGTTTATATAGGGTGCGGAAAGTGAATAAATTTGTGCAGATGATGGAGAAGGACACACGTATGAATTACATGTTTACTGGGATTGATGAAACTTATAAGTAGTTGACCTCTTCTGCATCCACGTAGCTACCTGCATCTTCTTCTACCTGGCCACCACACTACCCCCATCCCAAGAGGGGTACGCATGCATGGATGGGAAGTTTACAGCTGGGCGACCTTAGTTATATTGATCTTTGGAAGCGTCATGCAACATCTTTGTACTTTAGACCTTTGTTGGTAGGTTACCAATAATTGGCTACACGCATTGATGCATAAATCTCTTTTAGACTTTCCCAAATCGCGTGCGGTCATACTTCTCTAGAAAGTTTCGTCGTTAATTATGTACTTATGTTTGTGATATGTTTTTTCCTTGCACGGGCTATGGAGATATACATGCAGTAAATGTGAGGGAGATGATATTCATAATGATTTCTGTTTCGTTTGATATGGTTCTTGGTGCTTATTTAATTGGCAACATGACAGCTTTAATAGCCAGAGGATCAAAAACAGAAAAGTTTAGGGAAAGAATGGGCAGGTCTATTGAAATATATGAATGGAAACAAATTTGAAAGGGACATTTCGTGAACAGATAAAGGCGCGGTTGTTTAAGATTAAAACATAAGTGGTTTTTAGGTATTTTAGAGATTTTATAAAAAGAAATTTATATTGTAGATATTTTATAAAAAGCATACATTATTTTACAATAATAAAAAAATGATTATTACTTTTTTTTTACATTTTATGATATCTTCCTTAATTCTTGTTTTATAAACATGATTTATTATTATATTATTTTAAACTTTTATGATATTTTCGTATATTTTGCTTATTTAAAACATGCTCTCTCATTTATTGTATTATATTCTTTTTAAAAGCTACTAAAAAATCATTAAAATAGTCCAAAAATTATTTTTTTTCAGAGTCTAATTATTTTTAAAAGTTTAAATAAACATCGCAAAAACTTACAAAATAATTTTATTTTCAAAAAATAAATATTTTTTTATGAAATAAGCTAAAACAAACGACCCCAAAAAGCCATATGTGCTTACAACATGAAGGTAGCTACACTGAGCCAGCCATCCTTGAGGACTTCCCCAGTTCAATTCACTCTAAGGTATTAAGAGAACAATTATGGTCAACCTCGCTAAAATAACGTAAAATTTTCAAGTTGGTTCATTTTCGTGGCTGAATTATAACAAGTCACATAGAAAAAAATAACAACTACTGTGAGGAAATGAATAATTTTAATATGAAAAATTTTTAATTTCATTTGCCATGATAATAATATTTTGAATAAAAATAAGTGAAGCTACGTGCATTAATATCCTTTGTGAAAGAATTAATCATTTTAGTATAAGAAATGAACAATTTCAGCATGAAAAATTTGTAATTATTTTTACTATAATAATAACACTAAAAATAAAATTAAACGAAAGTATATACACAAACAACTCTTATAGAAAAATTAACAAATTTAGCATAAAAAATAAATAACTGTAATATGAGAAATTTATAATTCTTTTTACCATTATAACACACCAAAAATAAAATTAAGTACAACTATATCCACAAACAACTCCACTAAAAAATTGATAATTTTAATATGAAAAATGAACAACCTCAATATGGAAATTTGTAACTTTATTTACCATGATAACATCAATTTGAAAAAAAGTAAGTGAAGCTATACACACCAGCAACTCATGTGAAAAAATTAATAAAATGAACAAGTTTAGTATGAAAAATTTGTAACTTTTTTTACCACGATGATAAAGAATAAAATCAAATGAAACTACGTACACAAATAACTTTGAAAAAATAATAATAAAATTTCTCTAAAATATATAAATGATAAGCCGGTCCATTGAAATGCAATAATTTTCTTGAAGTCTTTGGGGACCTTTCTGTCATTAATGAATTTATATAAATTTTCAAATCACCCTTATTGAAAATAAATGATTCACAAGTTTTGTTTACATATTTATAACTCTCATGTTTATATTCGCAACAGTGCAGCAGTAAATAAGGAATTAACATACGAAATTGTAATTTGTTATTGTATTGTTGCGAATATAAGAATGAAGTTGTAAATATTTAAATAAAACTTGTAAATTATTTATTTTTAACTAGAGTAATTTAATAATTTATATAAATTTATTAATAATAAAAAAATTTCTATTAACCTTAGGAGAATTATGACATTTCGAGGGATTAAATTATCATTTATATATTTTAAAGGGATTTTATTATCATTTTTTCAATAACTATTGTAGGAAAATTAACTACTTCAATATAAAAAAAAAGAACAACTTCAATATTAAAAATTTGCAACTATTTTTACTGTGATAATAGTATTAAGAATAAAAACAATTAAAGTTATGTGCACAAACAACTTTTATAGAAAAAATAATCACTTCAGTACGGGCAATGAACAACTAAATGATAGAAAATTTGCAACTCTTTTTACTACAATAACAACACAAATAATAAAAATCAAGTGAAGTTATGTACACAAACAACTCTAATGAGAAAATTAATTACTTCATTATGGTAAATGAACAATTTTAATATCAAGAATTTACAACTTTATTTATTATGATAATAATAATTTGAATAAAATAAGTGAAGTTGTGCGTATCAACAACTCATGTAAAAAAATAATAATCGCTTTAATATGTGAAATAAATAATTTCAATATAAAAAATTTGTAATTATTTTTACTATAATAATAATACTATAATAAAATAAAGTGAAAAAGCCATGCGTACAGATAACTCCTGTAAGAGAATTGGCTACTTTATCATGACAATTGAACAACTACAGTACAAGAACTTGCAAGTGCCAGTTAACAGGTTTAAGCCACGAAGAACGATGAAATAATTTTAATTTCATTTCACTCCTCAATAGTGCTGAGAGAGCAAAACAAATGGATAATAATTTTGCTCAATAAAATATGAGCAATATAAGTGCTGTTCCTCGTATATAAAACGAAGGAGGAGCCTATCGGATATGGAAATCACAACAGGTAAACAACAACATTATTTTATCAAGGGATTTGAATTTTTCTATTTTCATGGAATTCCTCACATGGTTGATCTGGGGAGAAAGCGGGATAAAAGTTCATCTGTCAAGTATGTACGTCTGTGTGTATATTTCAAGGAATCATTGACAAATTTTATAATAAGAGTTATAATAATCAATTACGTCAACATTGAATTCTTCATCTTAATTTAAATTTTATGGTCCTTTATAATAAATCTCAGCAGTTTTAGATCAATCTCTCCAGTTTTCCATAAAAATAAGTGAACTTATATTTTTTAAAAGTTAATATAATTTTAAATTTAAAAATAAAAGGAAAATTGTTATGCGATTTTGAATATTAAAATGTACTTACATAAATTATAACGCATAATTTAATAATATTTATGTTGTTCATTTGCTCATTAATCTTTCTATCTGACGCCAATTGCCATCATGGTCATGGGTGTGAGGTTCGCTTTGCGCAAACATTAGATCAGAAAAAAATTTCCCAAAAAAGCGACTATTTTTCTGTTTTTAATTCGTTTAATTAGTTTATTGACCCGTTCCCGTTTACTCAAGGTGGTTGCTTCTGGACCGAAAAAAGATGGCCACCTAGACTAGATCATCATTCACGTCAGATCAATGACTGACTTGACCAGTTAATTTCACTGGACATGTATGCCTGTATGAGTCATTTTTTTTTTTGACCTCTCGTATTCTTTTCATATTTTTTATACATTTCAGAAAAATAAATATTAGAAAATTAGAATTAGAAAAAAATAAATATTTCCCTATAATATTTAAAAAAATATTTGATTGCCTATGTGGGTGCCTGAGACCTGAGTGATAATAAAATGCCAATCGATAATAAAATGAATCGCTGGATAAAAAATAAAAAAAGGGGGAGGGGGAGGAACCCGCGTAAATTCATTTTGATTCTCCCGCCAATTTTTTTTTTTTTTTTTAACATTTCTCTGGTCTGGAGGTGTTCTCTCCTTCTAATTTGTCATTTTTACTTCCCGCCAGATCGCACCGCAGCAGCATCCTTCATCATACATCTACACCTTCTTCATCATCTTCTAATACTTAATTATCGGCAGCAGCTCCGACCGAAATACCAGCGTGTCATCTTGACTGAGCTTTGGCCTCGGCTGTCTTCGTCGAAGGGTTTGCAGCTCGATAGAAAGGTGCGTCGTTGAGTACTTCTTATATTAGACTTCGGATTGGTTGTAGCTTCTGGGGCTTCTGCAGGAATATATTAAACAACTGAATCAAGGTTTCAAGGGAGGGATGAATGTTACATGGTTGCTAGGTTGCAAGCTCTGTCTACTTTTCTCCCTAAGTATTTTCAATTTGCTAAAATTTGCAGATAATTCTTTTAGGAGGATATAATCCTCCGTCAATATGTAGTACACGCGGATGAAGGAAGCAAAGAACAATCAGAAACTTGGAATTCATTTTAAAACCTGTTCCAAGTTTGGGATTTAGTATAGTCTATTAGTATTCAGTCTCTGTATATTCTACATGTTTGTGTCCAGGACTAATTCCTTATCGTTTCCTCAGCGTGGGGAAGAAGATGACGTAATGAAGATTAGAAGTTTCACCAAGAATTGCAGCCAAACAGTTTGTAAACTGTGCAGTTTAGTTCATCACAGCTTACAACATATTTAAATAAAATTGCAGAAAGAAAACTTCAACTTCTTCGTTTTAGGATTTTTGGTGTCACCTCAGCAAATTAGTGTCAAATTGATCGTCTGCTTATTATCTATTCTTATTTTTTTTACATTAGTCCCATTCTTTTCTTTAGGTGTATTGACCTTCAAATAGAAATATAAAGCATTTAAATTTGTAGAATCATCTTATGGAAAATATGTTGCTCAGCGGAATGGTGCAGGCAATCGAATAGCTTGAGACAGTCAATATTGATAGTTTATTGAGCTCCTATTATAAAGTTATCTGTCATGAGGTTTGTGCATGTTTCAAAGTACTTTCTGTAACTCTGTACTTTGTTTTGATATTGTATATAAATAAACAGATTGCACGATGATTCGTCACAATAATTTAAACATCTTTTATTATTAGCAAACAAAACAGATCAAGTCCTTTGCTGATTGCTTTTGGTAGCATTATGTGTTCAATGAGACAGAGACCTGAATGCAATGATAGATTTAAAGCTTAGTTTTTTGGATGCAGTTCTCGACTAAACTATCTTTGATGAGTCAAGATAAAGTGTAAGAGCAGCAATTTGGACCCCATGATGGCAAATTACTATGACATTGGTGACATTATCACAGAGAAAGAGGTTCGAAATTCTCCAATAACTTGTGTTTTTTTTTGGTTGCACGTCAAATTGAATAAAGGATGGTAGTAAGATGTATTTAAAGACGTTGTAAATAAGTGAATTAACTCAGTATTTATGCTAAATCTGCTATGTAACTGAGATGTTTTGGGCTGGTACTATCTCTTAACAAGATTAGTATGAGTAATGGATAAAATTCAATTTTTCCTTTGCATGTCACCGAAGAAACAATACTTTGTTTTCCTCCCTGTCTCTTTGATGTTTCTATCAGTGTTCGTGAGTTAAATAGTTGCCATTTTAGCTTTCCTTCTTAGTTTCTTATTCTAATACTATAACTTGCTATAACCTCACTACAGATTGTATCAGGTATATTCCAAAAGGCAGCATCAGGAGTGGGAATAGATCCCAGTTCTGAAACTGACTATGTAAGAACGGCTGATTATCAATGAAAATGAGTCATTGCTTGGTGGATCTCCAATGATTTGACCGGGCACTGGTATGTTTGACTTTCAGATTGAAACAGGTTCCAAAGTGGAGATGCCTTTCTGGCTTGCTTATGAGCTACAACTGAGACAAGTAGTATCTATCAATGTTCCCCCTTGTTTCGATCAAAAGTAAATACCAAATCATAGTTCTGTTTGCAATTTATAGGCTTCTAGGCCTCTTGTAATAATGAATAATCATTAATTAGTACATTGACAATGAGTGAAGAAGCAATGACAATTTAGCTTTCTTTGTTTAATTCTTCTACAAGTTTAACGGTTAGGCAGGCCATGCATGTTAGTCATTGACTCTAAGACTTCGACTTGATTTGCATCTAATGCCATTTTCAACCCTTATTTTTTCCTACGATCTGATTAATTTGTCATAATGAGCACAGTGATGAACTTCCGTTGTTTTGTACAAGTCATCAAAATTGTTAACATAATATTTTAGCAAATCATCATCTGCACTTGGGTCCCAATGTATAAGAGGAGTGCCGAAGTTAACATTGGGCTGGTTTTATTCTCGGTTACAAAGTTTTGGCTTTATTTGTGCCTGCATATGTTCTTATAGTTGGTGCCTCTTGATTTCAGAACAAGACTCGAGATTCAGGCTGACTGTGCTAGTGTGGATCTGAGGTCTCGATGTCCATTCTTTTATGAATTTGGATGCAAGATAGCACCCGTGTAAGTCTCTCTTATACAATAATTTTCCAAGGTTTCTTGCATTGAAAGTTTGTGAATTTCGCAACGGCTTCGTCAGTTTCTTGCATTATTTGAAGTTTACAGTTTCATCCCCATTGACATTTTCTTGCTTATTCTTTTGGTCCTATCATCGATGATGTTATTCGGTTTCTGTCTACCTGGACATCTTGCATAAGGCCAATGAACTTTTCATGTATCCTTTCTCATAGAATATAAAACATTCTCATTCAAGTCATCATAACAATAAATTCCATTTCAAGAACCAAATTTCAAATAGAGTGATGAAAATAAAATGTGAAAGGATTACTGCTTGCCAAGAGCATGTGTGCTGAGTGGTGGCATCTATAATGAAATTGTTGCCAACGTTTTCTGTCCTGCTTTCTCCCGACCCTCCATCCTACCCTCATGGCACCACATAATGCATCGAGTGAAACAAAATAATCAAGTCTCCTAAACTTTGGGTAGTAAGCAATGCTGGTCATAATATAAGCCCTTTTTTACTTTGTCCAACCAACCAATATTTAAAGTGAGCAGTCGTGATTTTTGATCCGCCCTTGTACGTAACCTAGCATTTTCTCTATTTTAGATTAAGAATTACAGTTATTGAAGTTGTCTGAATGATTCGCATGTTATTGGTTATAAATATCACGTCTTGTTACGTAATTGAATTCAACTCATTATGAACTACTTATAAAGAACATAATTATCATGCTATAATTTATGAGCTTTGAATCTTATGCTTCTCAATGTGATTCTATTCATGATTAAAACAACTGAATTGATTTACGATTTGAGAAGCACACATTCAACTATCAAATTACTCCTTAAGTTTGAGCAAGTTTTCCTCATGGCAGGGTTGGTGATCGGACCATTGGGTTTCTTCTCTTGTCTGCATTTAAGAATAGGTACAAGGAAATCCTCACCAAGGCACATTCTGCATCATTTTCAGCTGCTTCCAAATTCTGGTCAATTCTAACAAAAGAAGAGGTCAATTGTGAGTTTTGTTCTTCGTATGAAATAAAACATGTTTCCTGTCTTTGTTAAGTCGCAACTTAACAATTCGCTTAACCTAATGATGTTCCTGCTTCTCGTAGTGTATAATGCAGCTCAATCCTCAATGGCGTCCTTCAAGAAGTGGCGAATTGGGGGACCTAGATTTCAGATAGCCTCAGTTCTTGGAAGAAAGAGGAAATCAACCGAGTAGTTGCTCCTTTGCCTTGTTAGATCTCTATTAATTCAATCTTGGGAGTATTTATGTAAATGCGGAGATTTTGAGGGGTTTATCTCCATAGAGTCTGATCTCTACTATCGATGGAATGCTCCTTGTGTTTCCACCAAAAAAAAAAAAAATTGGAACTGCATTTGCCGCTATGATCGCATCTATCAAATATTTTATTCAATTAATATTAGATGATTTTTATGTTTCAATGTGTAAAACATTTTATGAAATTTTAAGTGTAATTAGTATTTGTTATCTGAAATGCTTCTAAGATTATTAAAATTAACTGCTTCTCAATATTTTGTTTTATTAGAAAAAAATATCAATGATGGCATTAAATAACAGTAAATTTGTAACCAAATTAGGATGTCAACTAACAGTGTAATTAGTCTTTGTTTTTTTCCAGTAATTTTCTTAGAAGCATTTTAAGTGTAATTTAGAAAAGTTGAATCCAATGTTTTGAAAAAGATGGGATTCAACCTTTCCTACAACTTAGAAAATAAGTGTCAAGCTTCTAAGATTATTAAAATTACTTGCACATGTTTGATATTACAATTTTTAAAAATAGGTGCCAATCTTGTAAGAATTTTTTTTTTCAAAGGAATAACTTTTATCATGCCGTTTTCATATCATTTTACATGTAGTGGGTTTATGTTATTGTTGTCTTTAATGTTAAATATGCATGTCAGAGTTAAATAAATATAAAAACTAAATGTATATGGTGTGAATGAATATTATAAGAAGCAAATTAATAAAAGTTTATAATTAATTAAATTAAATTATTGAATGCCTTTTTATAAACAATATTAGAAGCTTTGTTTGTGGATCGACCATCCTCATTAAGAATTAATATTTTTAAACACTCTTTGATTTGAACATGAGAAATAGTAACATATAACTGGTATGTGAAAATATGATACAATTGATATTACATAGGCTTTTGTCTTGGCTTTTTATTAATAGTCATTAAAAGAGCTAACATAATAGAAAACTACCTCCTCATATTAAATGAAAACTTGAAATTGAATAGACACATAGCAATATACGATATACATACTTTTGTTCTTGTAGTTGGCTTGGACATTTGTTGGGTCTCGATGACATGTTTTTCAATTTATGTAACTATAAAACATGTATCATTATATAACCTTATAGACTTATCAATGTTTTGCATTAAAATAATTAGGTCACTAACTTTTAGCTCATTTCATGATTCGAGAAGCCTGACATTGTAATTGAATTTAGGAAATCTATAAAGTGCAAGTCATCAAGTGAATTCACATCTTATCATTTTTCACAGTACTATCAAAATTCAAGTATACAACTTCCTTTCGAGGATCATGGACAACATGCCCTCTTTTACTTCTTTAACTATAGCCAACATAGGGGTTAAGATAGCTCTAACTCTAAAATATGAAAAATTATAAACATTATAAAATAATTTGAGAAAGTCAAATCAATAATAGACTTTATTAGATTGTCTAAATCATCCAGTAACAAATTAGTTAAAATCTTAATATTCATAAATTCTTCATTAACTTAGCAGCAATCCCATCATTAATTAAGATAATCCAATCAACAAAATCCTAAATAGCACTGTTAGATGCCATGTTATTTAATGCCATGAGTCTTATGTTTCTTACTGTAAGAAGTTGACAATTATCTCAGATGTATGAAAAGTTAATGGTAGCAAAAACAATGCCTTCTCTGGATCAACTTGAAATAATAGGGAGGATCTGCCTAAAATCTCCACCAAACACAATAGCTTTTCCTCTAAATGGAAGATTGGCAACCAGTAAGTTACTAAACTTTAGAATATCTTTTAAGTATTTTTCAAGAGTTTTAAAACAAAACTTATGTGTTATTAGAGCATTGTCCCATATAATCAATGATGTGTGAGCCAATAACAGGCAAGTTACTTTCTCATTTTTAATATTTTTAAAACCGAATCGAATATTGAACCAAAAAAGTTAGCGGTTCATGATTTGTATGGTTGAACCCGATTGGACTAATGGTCAAACCGGTGATATAATAATTAAATTAAAAAAATTATATATGTATATAATAATCTAAATATAAGAAATAAATATAAAATTGCTACCTAAGTTAAAAATTAGACTTAATATTTCAAGTCTATTATGACTTAACAAGCCACGTGATATAACATAACATTAAATAATTAAAAAAATTGGTCATTTTCTAAAAAAATTAATAATTTTTTTTAAAAAAAGGACGTTTTTTTGAACAGTTCAATTTTTGAAAAATCGAATCTGGTTCCCGATTTGATCCCAATTTCCATCCTGACCGTTAATCCAAAGTGATCCAATCAACTCCTCAAATGATTTTTTTGACTCAATCAAGCTGTTAACTTGACATTTCGATCGATCTAACTATCTGGTTCGGTCTAGTTTTTTAATCATTGGCTGCATATAGTGTTTTTTGTCACAGAAAGTGGGATACCAAGTTATGAATGAGCTATCCGCCCTCCTAAAAGAAATAAAAGCTATCCTGCTTGATATTATACTAAGAACAATTTTACTTTTAGATTATAATGAAGCAGACAATGTCCTCTAAACATATATTTTCATGGTACCACCATATCCATAGATTAAAAAAAACTCCTCATTTATTAGATGCAACAGCACTAATAATTTTATCATAAATTGTCCTTTGCTCAGGACTTAGTATTTGAAGCAACTTTATCAATTTAGCAAACAATGCAACCTTAACATAATTTAGTTCATTTCTTATTAGTCTGTTCTTACTTGCGTCCAAGCTAGACATGTTAGGTAAAGGTATAGGCTTATAATTCATAAGATTTTTCCTATTAGATTGAAGTATTTCCTCAACCTCAATCAATGTAAAGTTGCAAAAATCAGCCTCATCTAATTATATTCTTGTGAAAAGAATGTTGTTGTGCCAGTAGTGTTGTTTGATAATTTATATAAATTATATCAATATTATTAAACTGTAGAAACAGATTAAAGAAAGCAAATGTTTGACATACTCTTGCAAGTCAAAAATATCAATAGAATTTGAATCATGTATAAATTATCTTGTGTATATTTTTGAAAATGTACAGTCTAGGACTCTTAAACCTTATGGCAAGCAAAGGACACGTTGATGCACAATACGTGTACTCAGTGATAATCTTAACAAATAATTCATGGTTTTTTTGGCATAGATAATTTTAAAGAAGCTATAAAAATTTTAACACATGTTCTTACTGGAGATGGTTTGGTTACAATTAGAGAAGATGTAAAGCAGCTCCTTAAACAATTTACATGGGGCGTAAACTGAATGCGCTTTGACCAACCAAGGAAAAGAATATGAAAGTTCAATAGATGCACTAAATATTGTCAATTTTGCACCTTAGACGAAGATATAACATGGTTTTATATCACATTAAATCTCAAATGAAATTAAGTGATATAGTTCTTTTAATTTCTTTTAAATTTGTAGACAAATTTTATTTTCCTACTTTTTTATTTGCACACAAGTATTTATACAGTATTTTTAGTTTAGATTTTTTCTGGCATGAAAGTGTTATATTACATTTTTATCTCATTTGTTATATTAACAATTGGTTAAGTTTTTAAGTCAAGGTATAATCACCACATGGTTATTTTTTGTTAATCGGATGGAATCAACATTTAATATTAGCCAAAATGTTATGCAAAATAATTATTATTGTACAAAATCCATATAATTAAAATTGAAAATGACTTAAAATTTGAAGTCCGGCCTTCGGTATTAATCTATATACATTAATTTGAATTCAACTGAATAAATATCTATACTTTATATATGATTGAAATTTTTGGACATGGCGAGGATGGTCTAAACTTAAGTTATTTTTCTAAATGTTTAAATAGATATATTAATTTGAATTCAAATAAATTTATAGATGCTCAATTATGTCAAGCTTAATTTTAGAAAAATATTAGTGTAAATTGAAATGCACGGAAATAATCAAGATATATTGAAAATTTTAAACACATATTATTTTTTTCCAAAATTTCAGATAAATAAATATTAATTTGAATTTAATTAGATAGGCATCTAAAATGTAATGTTTTCATTCAATTAGTTTTATCATTAATATAAAGTCATTTCCTAAAATTATTATGTTTGATTAGGTTCATAACTAAACATTGTTTTCAATTTCATGCCTTTATTTACTTTATTACTTGAAGGATTTTTCTCTGTATGTTTGTTAAAGGCTCTTAAATAAATAAAAAATAAAAAAGAGACCCCATTTATAGAATTATAAAGAATCATTAAATTTATAAAGGATAAAATTATTGCCATCGTATTAATGGAAGAACCCAATAAAAATATATAAAGATATCAAAGACACTAAAAAAAAAAATTGAAGAGAGAATCCTAAGTAATTAGGCTAAGAAAAATATTGATCAAAACACAATACTCATAATTAATGAATATGAAGACGCATTTCATTTCTACGTCTTCACACCTCTTTACCATCAACAAAATAAGTTCATCATTGCTATTATCATTATCAATAGTCATGCCATGTATATTTTTTACCTTTATTGGAGCACCGATTGAAAGGTCATGATCCTTCTTCGCATTCATGGTAGAATCACCACCATGAGCATCTTTTCCACTTTATTTTGAGCATGTTTTAGAGCTAATAATTTTTGAAGGAGTGCTTCCACCTATATTACTAACCTTCTATTTTTATAGTTCAATACCATATTTGATCCTTCAAAATTTAATCATTAATATAAAATTTTTAAAAAATAACATATTGCTCATAAAGAAAAAATAGTGTAGAAAATCAACTATTTAACAGGCGAGTTGTCAATATTAATTAAATTAAAATGATAACTAATTCAATAGCTATTATATTCATATTGATATTGATTATCATTTTTGAAAACTTGTCATATTAAATAAAATTGTCATTACTCTATTTTTTCATTATCTTAAACTAATTCCATACACAATCTTTATATATAAAAGACAATACATGATTAAAGTTTTCGAATAGAAAAGAAAGAACTAATATAGAGTATTATCTTAAACACGCTACATAGATTTTTCAAATAACAAATTCAAAAAATTTAAATACATGTCAACTAAGTAATTATCATTGGCTGCCTCCCTATTTGTAATATCTAAAATATTAACAAAATTGAATCCAAAACAATGGATGGAATCTGTCTTAGAATGCAATTTCACAGTAGTAGAGAACATAAAGCTAAACTTATAAGAAGATCCGTTGTCCGATACATTCTGAAGCACTGAGAAACCCCAAATTTGGTCATCCTATAGCAATGCTCTCCCATAGATAGGATAAGTATTGTATATTGATTGATGAGATTCAAATTAAAAAAGGAAATACAAAAGATATAAACACTTACTCCAACATTTTTAAAGACCAATTCAACACCGTTAGATTCTTCAAATGCATTTTTACTTGGTAATTTTTAAATATGAATCACCTTAACCACAATATATTAGCATGTTGTGTTGATGGTATGAATTGTGTGGATCTTAGATATAAAAATCATGAATAATATGAATAATAGTCAAGAGAAAATAAACCTAACACATTAGAGGAGTGACTTAGACGTTAAGGTGTGAAGTGTGCTATTAGCATAACCTAATAATTTGTAATTGATTAAGGCTAAATTTAGGAGGAAAAATTAAGGGATATTTTTTAAAATTAAAATGATAGATATTAAATATTTATTTTTGTGAGCATAAATATTTAAGGTATTTGAATTTTAACAAACTTCCTTTTCAACATATTAGTATTCTCTAAAATTTAACATCTTAATATTCTCCATAAATAACAAATGGTAATCCTATATACTTTATTATTAAATAAAATAAATTAATATCTATGTTATGACATTTATAATACATGAAATTTAATATTATGAGATCCAAATTATTAAATAGATTAATATATATAATAGATCTAGATAATTAAAAACAAATTCTTTTTCAAAATATTTAAATAGATAGAGATTAATTTAAATTTAAATTTAATATATATATGTGTATGTGTGTACTCGATCATATGAATATAAACTTTTGGCATATATTTAGGGTTGATGAAAACTTTAAATGGATATATATTAATTTGCATAAAATATTATCATATTTGAATTTTAAATAGAAAAAAAATAAATTTTTATATGCATCTAAAAATTAATAATTCATCCCGTATTCAATTCCAAATCTAAATAATATATTTTATATACATTAAAAAAAAGTAATTTTAAACTTAACTTTAAACCTGAATTTGAAGTATAAAATCCCATAAAAAGGCATTTTGAAATATAATATCTCCTAATCTTTAACCCTATTTATATATATATATATATATATATATAATCTATTAAATAAAATTCAAGTAAGGTTTACGCGTCTAATAGCTTTTATATCTTTCAAAATTTATCTTTTAACAAAAATATAGTTTTCCTTCTCACATAATGAATAGCATAACGAATAAAATGGTGTATTTGTCTTTAAAATTTAAAATGCTACATTCATTTTAAGAAATCGTTTTAATTTTTAAAAATTTAAAAAATAAACAGGTTATCAGTTAAGTTATGAATTCCCGAAATTTTTTATATGTTTACTTCGCAGAGATTTAGAAGAATAAACCAAATAACCTTTGAGTTCATACAGTTACAATTTGGACTTTAGAATCTCCGGACGGAAAAAAAGAAAAAGATAAAAGAAGTTTGGAATCTCCTTTATACGCTACGCTTCTGGTCACTCCGCGGCTTAGCTTTTCAGCGCATATGGGAGACTGTTCCAAGTTGTTTTTCCTCTCTTTATTTTATCATATTACAATTTTTTTTCCCTATTTTGGAAATCCATATAAACTTCATTCAAAATTAGAAATCATATTACATAAATCTTCTATCTATTTTTAAAATTTAATCTCAAGTCACTTAATTCTTGCTTCATGGTCAAATCACATATTTTAAAATATCGAATTCCCTGTCAAAATGTCTTGTAATTTAGCACTGGGCAATGAAAAAGAAAAAGGAAGGCATCGGTAAGCGTTGTTTTGGGGGCAGGTTTGGGAATTTATTCAGGGAGGGCGATATTTATGGGGGGAGATATTTTGAAGACACTCAGATTCGGATCCACGCAGGCAAAAAGACACCGTCTCTTTTAGCCGTCGTGGCACTGTCTGTCTTTGCACTTTTAACACTTTTCCACCCCTTGATATTTTCTGTCCCCCTCCACCGCACACCCCCACTCGCATTCAACAATCCACCGCTCTCCCATCGCCACTGTTCTCATACACCATGGCTTGAAACGGGCAAGAGTTGGTTGCTTTGGTATTATGTGCGGGCCACGCCCTTGCTTAGTCGCGTCCGTCACATATAATGGGGTCTGATTCTCCATTGATGAAGGAGAGAAGATGATCGATCGGAAGCCATATTATTCTTTCTCATCGCCAACGCTGATCAACAGCTCCTTGCTCCCCCACCTGTATATATGTATGTTGCCTCTTCCTCATCCTCTCCACGCTAAACCAACCGAAACCAAACCCGACTTCGGCACTCACCCGCTTCCATTACTCTCTTCTTCAAATGGAAGACCCCTCCCACCGCCGCCATCACAAGAAGACCCACTGCCACCGCCCCTCCACCATCGCCACCCCCACCACCGGCGAGCCCGTCGACGAGGTCAAGGAGGCCGAAGAGGGCGACCCTCAGGTATGGGCCACTTTCAACAACAGCTTCCGACAGGTTCAGTCCGTTTTGGACCGCAATCGGCTCCTCATTCAGCAGGTGAACGAGAACCAACAGTCCAGGATCCCCGACAATATGGCCAAGAACGTCTCTCTCATTCAGGAACTCAACGGCAACATTTCTAAGGTCGCCCATATCTACTCTGATCTCAACTCCGAATTTACCACCATGTACCACAAACGCTCCACCAACTCTGCCTCCCGACGCGACAAATGAAACGACGCCACGTCTCCACACTCTTTGCCCTTGTTACCACTTCTCCCTATCTGTATCTCGTGTGTTCCTGGGCCGGAATAAATTATTGTACCTGTGGTTGAAAAATATTTAGTGATTACATCCCGAGTAAGGACGATGAAGGCAAAGCCGTGAGTCGTCATCTTCAACTTGTCATTTGTAGACATACTTAATTAGTCCTATAAACATGTAGAGCCTTTCTTTTGGCCTAGCAGAATAAGTTGTCGGGTCCAAATTGCACGTCAGGGGTCCTGAGTGCACTAATAAACTAACTTGTATGATCTCTCCCAACCTCCCTGAATATCAATCCTTTCATTTTGTGCTGGGCCGACGTTTTTTTGTTCTTAAATACGCACTTTTCTTCATTATATTCCATTCTGAAAGGTCGAAAAGAAGAAAGCAGAGCAAGGCTCTTTACTTTTGTACTCTTTTTGTTATGAGCATGAGCATAAAATTGAATTTAGCCACGAACGGAGTTTATCCTCTCTTTTACAGATCATGGATTCGATGTAGTGTTTGACCATTAATATTCTGAATTCTTGATGTTGCACGTCTCTATTGGTGGCACCTTTTTCCTGTGTGAAGTAGACCCCCCGCCCCCTTTTTTGGGATAATCATTGCCATTTAATCAAGTTCTGCCAGTGGAAATAAAGGTTTCAGTCAAGATCTATGTGACAGTATTTGAAGCAGCACAAAACTTTGCTGAGTGCTTTTAGCGATGTAGAATGTATATACTTGTCTTGAGACTACTGTTTTAGATTTTCTGTCATTTATTTTTAAAATTTAGTAGCATCTTAATTTGTCATTTTGTTGAATTTTTATTCAACTTGAACCAAGTTTATAAAATGCGAGTCTCATAATTTGCATGTGTTTGAGATGATCAGTCATATGCGTAGTGATGGTAAATCTTTTTTTATATATTTTACATGATATATAGATTATATAAGGTTTTCAGTGTTGACGATTAATGAAGATTCTATGTTACTCTTTCTTTCTTTCTATACAAGGTTACAGTCAAGAGATATTGATGTAAAGGCTGAGCCTCACGAGGTGGGGAATGCCTCTCATGCCTCACCACTCTTACTACGACCTCCCTCCAACACGATCACTACTGTTTATTTCATGGTTGCCATTGCGAGAGGTAAGTAGTTATGTGGGTTAGGTATGCTCTTGTGGCTGCATGTTGTTTTGCTAGTTAAGATCAGCTTCATAACAAAACCTAGCTCACCAACAACACCCTCGTTGTAATTGTAACAAAACTAAAGCCCCTCCAAATAATTAAGGTTCTAACATATGCCGAACAGATTCTTGACTTTTCCGTACCACGATCATCAAGGCAGCTATGCTTTGAAATAAATTAATAAACCTGTACGTCCATTTTATCTTCTTCTACTCAATCTTGTCAAAAATACAATATATTTTAGTCTACTTTTTTTAATATGCATTTAATTCAAACTAGAAGAATAACAGGCAACAGGGCTCGTTTTTTTTTTTTAATACAAGGCCACAGAAAACTTATGTAAGAGAGAAAAGCAAAAAAAAAAAAAAATAGGTCAAGTTAAGACTCAAAAAGTTGACATCCTAAGAGTAGATCATTCAAAATCAATGTGTCTATATTATCACTTGAAACTTGGCGAGCAAGCCAGTCCGCACAGTTGTTGAATTTTCTAAACTCATAATTGAAAGTGATAAGTCAGGCTCGTTTAATTTAACAGGATTTTTGGATTGGTTTCAAGTATATAATTGGACTTTGTTTTAATAAAAATAATTTAAAATAACTTTTATTAGAAAGATGTCTAATAAATGAGCGAGTCTTAACTGTAGTGGTTGTCAGCATATTAAAGGTGAGATGCCAAAGGCTAAGGCTTAAAGCACATGATAATGGGAGTTGGCTTCCCTCCGCTGAAGCAGAAATAAATCAAAATCATTTAAATCTTTAAATTTAATATTTAATATTTTTATTTTTAAAATAAAAAATGTATAGAAATTAAAAAAATTAATAAATAAGTTTATTAATTTGATAATCCAAATTTAGTATTAAATTTTTTTAAAAAAAGTTTACTACTCTATTCAAAATATATTTGCACTGTCCAAAATATATATACAAAATCAATTTAAATTTTTAATAAGAAAAATGATAATAAAATCTCTATAAAATATATAAATAATAATTTAATTTTTTAAAATGCTAAAATTTCACTAAAATCTCTACGGACTTTTCTTTTATTAATGAATTTATGTAAATGATTAAAGTATTCTTGTTGAAAATAAAATGATTCACAAATTTTCTTTAAATAATTAAACTTTTATTCTTATATTCGCAACAACGCAACAAAAAATTAAGAATTTAAAAAGAAAAGTTGTGATTATCTAGATAAAACTTGTAAATCATTTTATTTTTAATAAGAAAAATTTAGTCATTTATATGAATTCATTAATGACATAAAAGTCAGACTTAGTAGAATTATGATATCTTAAGGGATTAAATTATTATTTATGTAATTTAAAAGAATTTTATTGTCATTTTTATTTTTTAATATTAAATTTGAACTATTCATATTAAATATGAACTGTCAAATTAATAAGTATATTCATTAAAATTTTTATAATTTTTATTTTAAAATATAAATCAAAATTAAAAATAAATATATTAAATATTAAATTTAGATCATTCAAACTAAATTTAAATAGTTTAAATTTACTCCTGTTTCAATGGAGAGGTTGATGATGCTTTCCTCCCACCCTATGATAATAAAGCTAGAAAAATGGGTTGAATCTGCGGGCTAACTTGTTCAACCTACAAATTTTGATGGGTTGAGTTGAAATAATTAGCTCATTTTTTAAATTGAGTTGGCCAGTTGGGCTAGCCCAACCTACAAAAATGACAAGTTAAAATGGATTAGCCTATGGGCTAAACGGGCTAGCCTGCAGGTTAGCCTATTTTTTTAAAAAAATAATTTATTTTTTCAATTATAATATATCTTCTTATAAATTTATAATAATGATTATATTTTTTAAACTTATAATTTATGATTTTCAATCATATTCTATATATTTGAAAGATAATGTAAATTTTTCTTACAATTTACAAATAAAATTTTTATTATAGTTTGCAAATCAATTATTTATTAATATTTCTATAAGAAATATTTTAAATATATATTATTTGTTAATCTTATAATATCTATTGATTGAAATTATAAATATAAATTCATTGGCAAAAATAATTTAGATTTATATTCAAATTTTATTTTAAAACATAATATGAAAAAAATCATTATCTATATATATGATATGTTGATTATAATTTTTAAATAATTTTAAAAAATAAAATCATATTTTGCGGATTGATCCGTGGACTCATTAGCCCGTTAATATATGAGTTGGGTTTTTTTTAACCCATTTATCTTGACAGATTGGCCCAACTTAATCTGCTAATATGCTAACTTGTGCAGGTTAGCCTATGGGTTGCCTTATAACTTATTTGTACAGCTCTACGTGATAATGGAATCATGGGAATGGACATTAGCAAGTGGGTTTTTTTGTTTTTTTTGGACAGACATCAACGAGTAGTAGTAATCCAAATGTTTTCAAGTTACCAGTACGACAATTCGATACTTCCGTGCTCCATCCTGCTCATCCAGCATATAAACATTTTTAAATTACATATTGATAAAGTTTTTTTTTATAAAAATACATATTATTTTTTATTTAAAAATATTAATCATTTAATTTTTGTAATTTTAATCTAATTGTAATTTTGTCCCTAAATTCTGATTTATTATAACTCAATTCTTAAAATTTTAATTTAGTTATAACTTAGTTCCTAAATTTTGCCTCTTATAATTTAATTCCTATATATAATTTTAACCACTTAAATATTGATCTTTATATTTTAAAAAATAAAATTATAAAGATTAAAAATTTAAAATATTTTTAATTTTTATAATTTTACTTTTATAATATAGGGACTGATATTTAAGTGGTTAAAATTAGAAAAAATTAATCTTTTAATTCTTCAACTTTTAACTCACTTGTAATTCAATCCGTCAACTATAACTTATTAAAATTTAGTCCATCAATTATGACTTACTGTGATTCAATCCCTCAACTTTTATCTCACTTATAATTTAGTCCTTATTTTTAATTTTTTTAAAAAAATTTCCTTATCAAATAAAAAGAATAAAAGAATACTCTCCTCTTGCTCTTTGATGTAGGATGTAAATTAACATAAAAAAATAGAACTAACAAAAGTTGAGGGATTAGATTAAAAGTGAGTCAAAAGTTGAGAAATTGAGTTATAGACGAGTTATAGTTGAAGGACTCGGCCGCAGTGAGTAATAGTTGAAGGATTAAGTTATAAGTAAGTTAAAAGTTGAAAGATTAAAAGATTAATTTTTTTAAAAATTATAAAGACTCAATTGCAAGAAATAAAGTTTAAGGATTAACTTACAATCGAGTGTTAGAATTGTAAAGACTGAATTATAATGAGTCAAAATTTAAAAATTATTTTATAATTGGGTTAAAATTACAGGAATCAAATGATTAATTTTTTTTTATATTGAATTATCAATATACTTCACGATGAATGAAAAATAAATTTATACAAATATCTATATTCATACATATAAGAAGTAAAATGGAGAATATATTTTGGACGGCCGGGATGGCGTGTATATGAAAAAGAAGAAATGCATAAAGACTTGATATAACAGAATTTCAGAAAATTCAAAACCTTCATTATTTGTGGATCACAATTTTGGGGCGCATGCAAAGTGAAACGCATTTGTTGACCAACCGGAAAAAAATGGAGTTTTTTTTTATTTTATTCTATTATCAGTCGTCATCAAGAATAATTATCAACAAGCGATAATGGCCACTTGATGCTTTTCAGGCGAATGGGTCCTTTTAAGTTGGGAGAATTACATTAAAATTTTATATAAAAAACTTAATAATTATAAAGTTCATAAATAATTAAATTAAATTGTATTAATAATACACTTAATTAATAACATAATTTAATTTAGTTGTTAATAAATTTTATAATAATTATTTTTTGTCTCACACTGGTTGTAATTCTTTCTTTTAAGTTTTAACACCTGTTAACAACGATGTTATGCCATAACAGATCGATTATAGAGTTCGAGTGCGCACGTGCGAGTTGGCAGTGTTCTCAATGGTCGCTGGCTCTTGGGTAGGATATGCAGTATCCATCCTCACCTTCATGGAGACAACCATTGCTCACGAGTAATCACATGTCGTCGCTAACAATTAGGATTTAGT